GCCTGTAGTTCCAGCTACTTGGAAGGCTGAGGTGGGAGGATTGTGGTAGCCCAGCAGGTCGAGTCTGCGGTGGCTGGGAGCGGCCACTGCACTCCAGTCTGGGCAACAGAGTGAGACTCCAACTCAAAAAAAAAAAATTAAAATAAAATATTAAATAGATGATGCTATGATGATGATGATGATAGTTATAATAGGCCACTGGTATTGTGCTTATTATGTGTCAAGCTTTGAGCTATCTACCTTATGTGTTTTCTCTCATTTAATTCTCTCAACAACCTCACAAGAAAGGGATTACTATTAGTTTTGTTTTTCAGATAAAGATGGAATAATAGAACTGTGAAGTAATGGGCTCAATGTCACACAGCTAGAAAGTGGTAGAACTCCTGGCCATGTGAAAGAACTTCAGAAAAACAGTGAAAATTTGCCCATAGATTAGGACCAGCAAGGCAGTGAAGGGTAATTGAATTTAGAAGTCTACACTTCTTTTTATGCCTCATTCCTGGATCTGTGACTGTTAAAGTGTCTAATCTATTACTTTGCTGCACGATCCTACTTTTCCTCTGCTTAAGTTATCCATTCATCTCAAAAGGGGGGAGGTAATTCTCAGATATGGGAAATAAAGAGCAATAATGACAATTTCTTTTGGTTTTGCCAAATAAGAGGGACAGAGTAGTGGTCTACTTGCAGATATAATAATATAGGACACCAAATGTTTCTCCCCTCTGGGCTGCCATGAGGCCCCAAAGTGCCTAGGAGAAATTCAATTTTTTGTGTCTGGAAGGTTTCTAGGCTTTACTGTTTAGAAGACAAACATCTTCATAAAGATGATCAGGATCTCTGATGCCTTCAGGGGCCAGACAAGTAATTCACTTTTGGAGGGGATGGGTTAGACAACAAGGTGAGTTGGTTGCTATGGCAACCTGTAGATTACTTGCCCTGTGTACAAGCATTGACAACACAGTGTAGCTAATAGTCTATGGACCACTGGTTTTCAACATCAGTCAAAGGGTTACATATTTTTTTCCTCTCGATGATCAAAGTTTATTGTCGAATATGTTGGATTGAAAACTATAGAGACGACTAAATAAGCAAATAGAAGCATCAATACCATAGCCCTTCATTAGGTACTATTGATATCTTGGCATATTCCTTTCCAGTTTTTTTTTTTCTTCTTACCTGAGTATAAAAATCTGCATCCATGGAGTCTGCACTAAATAAAAACATTTAAATGTCAGTTAAGAAATACTTGTGGTAAAAAATAAGGACATTACTAAATCACATTTCAGACTGAGAATTAGCTTAGAAGTAAGGCCGTGGGAGGATACAGCCTGAAGAGATAAGTAGAAATAGTAGGGCATAAGAAGGTGAATTGGAGGTGAGGACAAAGATAAATGTCTTATTGTTTACAGATTTGCCGAAGGAAAACTGATCATAAAAGACCTTTGGCAGGAGGCGGATAGCAAGGGGCTGTCACCCAGGGAGTGGGATTAATACCTTTAGGGTGGGGTATAGGTGGGATGAATTATTAAAATGAAAGCTCTCTGCCTATATCATCCTCATTCTCTAGCCGATTTAAAAGATAAAATTAAAAGATACATTTTCTAGTCAATCTATAACATTAAAAATAAAATTAAGCCACAGAAAATTTACTTCCCAAGAAAATCTTAGGAAGAAGCTGTTTCTGTAACAAATGAAAGCAGAGCTGTCTGCTCCAAAGAGGCTGGGGGACTTGGAACCCTGTCCCACCCCCAAATTCTGAGCTTACCTAGAGTGGTATTTGAAGATCCACATTTTCTCCTTGATATTTTCCCTAACTCTGAGAAGCGATGTTTTCCTTCCGTATGTTCCAGAACTCCTCTAAGTTGCTGACCCCGGCGACCCTCGTTTCATTCTTTGCACTTCTCTACATTTGCTCTTCCTCAGTTTGATGAATCTCCTCTTGTCGGGTTTTAGATACGTATTGACTTTTGCAAAACTTCTTGAGCCATTCTCAGAGAAAGATTGACGGATGTAGCGTCAGGAGGGAAGGAGGTTTAGCTATTTTAAATGTTAGTAAACATGACAGCTTGTTGGGGATTAACAGAAAATCATGAATAAAATCATTGGGATTTGATAAGGGATTTTTCTCTCAGACAATTAAAGACTTGTTTTCATTATCCCCCCTCTCTCCCCCAAAAAATAATGGATGAAGGTCACTAGGATAACACATTATCAGTCTAAAGCTCTTAAAATGGATGAAAGACAAAAGTCAAGCTTGTGCTGCCCACAGGGCACCTGTATACTGTGTTGACTGTTCGAGCATCTTTTTAGCAGGCAACACTGTCCTTTAATACCTCCTACTTAATCCTCAATTTTCTTTTAAACATCAGATATTGGATAGGCTGGAACATCGTTTAGGCAGTAAAAAAAAACTGTGATGCTTTGTGGCCAAGACCTGCCAAGGAGAGAAATATTTTTGATACAAAAGAATAATTCATTAAAAAGATAATGAAGGCAATTTAAACCCTCCACAAACACATCACTGGGTGAATAAAGCTCATCACTTGCAGTTCAGGGTCATGGCTGAATGAAATATTGCAAAAAAGAAAAAAAAGGCTCACTGCATTTTAAAATGATCCAAAAATCACAGTGGGGCTTAGTCAAGCTTGACAATTTAGAATCTGACAAGCAGGAAAAAAAAGTTTCATTAAAATGAGAAAACTCCTCTGGAATAAAGCATTGGATTTCTATGTTATTTTTTGCACTCATATGCATTTACACGGTTTTAGGGAAAAAATCTGACTTTGAGTTGAAATTTTGCTTATCTGATTACAACTTGGGGATTCTCCCTTATACGCATGCAGTCAGAAGCACACGTTGTCTCATAAACCAGTGTGAATGGTTTGGATAATGGAAAAATGCAGTAGTGAGACAGTTGAGCTGTCAGATTTGGGTATTTGAGGTTGAGTGTCAGCTGGTTAGAACCATGCAATGCACCTAGTCCACAGGAGCTGAGATGAACAGGCATTCACTGTGTAGGTTTCAACTAGTACATGTTTGTGCATTAATCCTGTGGCTCAAGAAGTTTAATCTAAAAAGTAGCATATATTAGCTGTTGAGAGAGGTATCTTAAACTATTCTTCCCCTCATGTTTCTTCAAAGAGAATTTAAACCAAATCTTGAGGAAATTAGATCCATCAGATAGGGATTCATGGGAGCTTTCAACCAGGAATACTGAACTAATGTAGAAGAAATTATTGTGTTGAAGAGGCAAAGGAACCCTAAAAGCACTCTTGCAACTCCCTATCAGATGTGAGAAAACCCACTCTAAATTCCTGCTGGGTGGACTTCAAATACCAGAATATTTTTAGTGCCTCATTTCTCGCTACCACACAGAGTCCATTCTCTTGTTGAATGGCCTTGGACTGTGAGGAATTACATTCCTGAACTGAGCCAAACCCTGTGTTGTGATTTCTTTCTAATTTGGTCTGGGCACCTCTCTTGAGAGTGTCCATAAGCCAAGATAGCCACTCCCTAGGGAGAGCCCTTGCCAGGGTTAAAATTAGGTTTGGGTGTCTCAGTCAGGTGAGTCACGAGGAGGCAGCACAGCAAAGCAAGTGAAATAACAGGAGGATTTTATTACTACTCACAGATCCATAAGAAAAAGAGGGTGCTTACAAGGGCTGATGGGGAGTTGGGAGGCTCTAGGGAGTTCAACCAGTGAGGGGAGAGAGGATCAGTGGGATTAGGCATTTATTAAGCTCCATGGTACTATCCCTCAGGCTTTCTGTGGGATTGTGGGTTGGGTAGTTTAAAGAAGTCATGCATAAAGAGGGGTTCTTAGTGACTCTGATGCTGTCCATCAAGTTTTATGATGGCCAACAATTGTGGAATGTGTCGTGTTTTGGGTCAGAGGGTTGAGGAACAATTGGGCCATATCACACTCAACGACATGAGGAGGGCAAGCTTCAGTAGGTCAGAGATGATGGGGCATGACTGGTTTCAGGCAACTTAAGTCAGACCTAAAAATTCATACCAAGGCAACAACTATATTAAACAAATTTATGACAACAGAATTATCCATAAACTAGCTTCCGTTCTCTGTTAGGAAGAGCACTCAATGTATCTTTTAGACAGGGCAGCCTTTCAGATAATATGCATCACTCAGAGTCTTCTCTTTCCCCACCTAACCTGATAGTTTCCTCAACCCAAATGATAATATTCTAGGTCTACTGAGATTCAGAAAAGAATAATGGAAATCTGATAGAAATTTCTCTTTCTCTCTGTCTCGCTCTCCCCTACACTAATATACATATTCCTGAGAATAAACTGCAGTCTTTCACACCATTTGTGAATTTCCTAAACAAAAATATTCTCTTACATAACCACAGTTTATAAAATCTGAAAATAAACATTGGTACAAAACTATTAGCTACTCTACAGACCTTATTAAAATTTGACCAATTGCCCCATTAATGTCTTTCTTAGCAAGATAATACAATTGTTTTCTGGCCCAGGATCTTAATTATAATTATATACACATTGTACTAAGCTGTCACGTCTTTTTTGTCTCCTTTAGCCTCAGGTCCGCAGTCTTTTTTTTTTCTTTCCCTTTCCTGACCTTAACATTTTCAAAGAGTAGAGGTCAGATATTTTGCAGCACGTCCCTCATTTTGGCTTTGTTGATTTTCCTCATGATCAGATTTAGCTTATACATTTTTTGCAGAAATACTGTAGAAGTGATCTTTTTCTTTCTCAGTGCATCATATCAGGGGGCACGTTATGACTATTTGTCTCATTACTGGTGATGTAGACTTTGATCACTTGGTTAGGGGGACATCTGTCAGTTTTCTATACTGAAAAGTTTTTATTATTTATTATATATGAAAAGTTATTATTCATTTAAAAATTAATAAGGATCTTGTGGGAGATACACTGGTACATTCTCAAGCAGGTAGGGCTTGGAGAACCTGTGACTGATGTTGCCTTTTCCCTTTGTTTCAGAGTCTAACAGCCGCAGGGCGGTGAACAGAGGCTATGCCACCAGCTTGCTCAGGCTGCATCAGGACTGGCACAGCCATGACACAGCCAAAACCTATGTGCTGATCCGCCAGGGCTTCCTGGTCTGCCTCAAGCACATTGCTGCCATCCGGTCTGGCAGGGAGGCCTTCCTGGCAGCCCAAGGCATGGAGATACTCTTCAGCACCATGCAGGTAGTCAGCATGGGGCTTCCTTCTGCAACTGAATGGCATCTGAATGATTCCTGAAGGCATTCCTAAACGAATCATCCTGGACAGAGCTGGGAAAATGTCAATACATTTCTGGTTTCCTTCTATGGGCAGATGTTTTGGATTTAAAGCCTCATTCTTTCATTCACTCATACATTGATTCATTTATTTATTCAATATATATTTATTGTGTACATACTACCAGAGGCTCAGGATGATGTAGTGGTTAAGAGTGTTGACCCTAAGTCTAGAGTACTTGGTTCAAATTCCAGCTCTAGTGCCTACAGTTGTGAAACTATGAAGACATCCATCACCCAACTTCTCTGGGATTCAAGATTCTTCTTCTTAATGGAAATAATAAAATATGGGTTGTTGTGTGAGCTAAATAAGTTACTGTAGAAAAGTCATGTACTTAGAAGAGTACTTGCCATGACTTAACTGCTTTCTGAGTATGAGAAGTTACTGGGAAAATTAGCCCTGGGATCCAGTGGTGAATATGATATTACGGGGCAAACAGTCTAGCAGAAGAGGTAGACACCCAATAAACAGATTCCAGTGAGGAAGATACTTCTGTATTGCTTTGTGAAATCAGTAAAGTAAGAACATAGGTCTGTGGTGATTCCCATTATTGGAGGGAGAAGGTGTTTTTTTGAAAGAGGTCAAGTCCTCCCTGAGCAGGTAGCATCTGGCCAGAGACCTGAATTATTGAAGAAGCTGGTCATTACAACTTTAAGGGGAAGAGCATCCTAGTAAAAGGGGATGCCACCTTCAAGAGTTGCTACTTGTCTGCATCCTAGTGGAGTACGTGGTCTAGGGTTTCCTGGATTTAAACTCAAATAACAGATTCCTTAATTTCATTTGATCAGGGCTGATTTAAACACTATAATTTGAAGTTGCATAAACCCTCTATTGGTGATATGAGTGTTCCAGATATTCCTTAAATGAGCAGATGCTCACCCACTTCTCCGGAGGCCAAGGCCGCATGTTTTACTCACATTATGTTCCTCATGGTTCCTCTTCCTATTAGTCGATCTCTGGATTCCCTTCACCACCCTTCTTGCTCCTCTCTGAATTTTTTCCTACCTAAGTACATCCGAGGTAATGAAGAGCCAACAAGAGTATTGCTTTCCAACCAAGATATCTGTAGACTTTTCTCATTTAAGATGGTCTCTTTTTTCTAAAAAATAACACAACACTGTGCTACAAACCAATATCTAATTTTCTTTTCTCTTTTTTGAGTTGGAGTCTCACTCTGTCACCCAGGCTGGAGTGCAGTGGCATGCTCATGGCCACCGCAGTCTAGACCTGCTGGGCTCACGTGATCTTTCTGCCTCAGCCTTCCAAGTAGCTAGAACTACAGGCACATGCCACCATGCCCGGCTAACTTTTTAATTTATTGTAGAGATGAGGTCTTGTCAAGTTGTCCAGGCTGGTCGTGTGAACCCATGGGCTCAGGCAGTCCTCTCACCTTGGCCTCCCAAAGTGCTGGGGTTATAGGCATGAGCCACTGTACCTTGCTAATTTTCTATCTGTTGTCACCTCTGGGTTTCTCTCCATCATTACAGCTTTCAAAGCTCCTCAGTCATAAAATAGCTGTATTTTACATTCTGTTTCTTGGGATAAAGCAGTGCTTTGAATTTTTCCAAGCTTCCTCATGCTTTGTTAGCTTGTGGTTCCCCAAGTCTCTGATTTCTTGCAGTCCTTGTGAAATACTCTCCTGCATTGCTGATGTTTAATAGCTCTCCACTCTGTTGTGCTTCATCGAGTTCCTCTGCCCTCTGTGTTACTGGCTGTTTCTCTGTTCTGTGCTAATAAAACAAAAAGAGTAATAACAAAAGGAGATGGTGATAACAGAGGTACATATCTATGATAGGAAGATGGTGGAGAAAATATCAAGTGAAGACCAGGCATATGAGGAGCTTTGAGCCTATATGCAGGGTTTTAGAAACAGTTTCTCAGCAGGATAATGAAGACCTCAACTGCTCAATGAAACAAATTAGCAACAGGTTCCCAGCCTCAATGACTGTTGGGAATGGAAGCAGAAAGTGACTCGAGGCAGGGTCTGCATTTTGTTGCAAGGTTTCTCTGGCCTATGCTATAATCTCTCGTGGTATTATTTGACAAAGTAGCTCAGGAGGGACTTGTGGGACACTGATAAGCAAATAGGCCATGGCTTGTCTAGGCTGTCACCTGGAAGGGTGTGTAGAATGTATGGATGACAACTTCAATGGTTTGGATTCCTCACCGCCATCACTGCCCCCTCTTGCTTTTTGTCTTTTAAATAGTGTGTTCACCCAGAGGAGATGTTATCAAGTTTATGTGCAAAGTCTGACGTTTTATGTTCTCTTGTTTTTGGAACATGATCCTTTCAGGTGAAAGATGCTGTCCTGGCTTAGAAACCAAATGCCTCATTACTCTACCCTGGCAGAATCATAGTCAGTGTTGAGTAGCCTCCCAGACTTGGGATGAGTGCTGTGAGCACAGATGCACTTGCAGCTGTGCTTGAGTTTGAACTGGCCATCACCCCTCCTCTCCCTTCTGCTAGAGGAGGCATGTGAGTCACTGAATGGCCAACTAGGAACCTCGGATCTGGTGATATTTCAGTCACCATTTGCAAGTTATGCTGTGGTTGCTGCTACTGTTACAAATGATGGTGATGACCATGATAATGGAGGTGGGGGGAGAGGAAGAAGAAAACAGCAGTTACTTTGTATGGAAATTTTACTATGGCCCATGACTGGCTTAGCAATTTATGTAGACTTTTAAAAAAGCTTTTGAAGTAGGCTCTATTATTATCCTCATTTTACAGATGAAGAAACCAAGGCACAAAACTTGAGTAATTTTTCCAGATTCACAAAGCTGGTAAAGCTGAAGCCAGAATTTGAATTTGGTCTTCACACTTGAGAGTCCATGCTTTTGCCCTCTGCATTAGCAGGTCCCCAGGTTGAACATGCATCAGAGGACTTGTTGAACTCCATTCTTAGAACTTCTTATTCAGCAGGTATGAAGTGGAGCCTGAAAATTTTCTTTTCTGGTAGCTTCCTATAGGATGCTGTTACTGCTGGTTAGAGGATCACACTTTGAAAACCACTGTCCTATACTATTTTTATTGATATTTATGATGTAATTATATCTATGCTGTCTCATTCAGTCTTTTGACTGAAAAATAATTTTTTGTGAGTCCTTCCCACAGCCTTTGCCCGTGATATTGTTCTTGTGGCCTCTCTGCTGAGGCCACTGCTTGCATTTTCTCTCTGTTGGTGAGCCCACCTCTTTGTTTCCTGGGTCAACATTCCTGAACCTATCCTCTAAACACCCCTTAAAAGTTCAAAGGCTTATTGCTCATAATACAGCAAGAGTGCTATGAAATGTAATGTACCAGAATCTTGGAGTTTTGCACAAGGAAGGAGGGAGGATGACAGTTTGAATTTAAAGTTAAAAAAATTCCCACAAGCATGCCCTGAAACAGTATGAGATAGTCATCAATTCAGAGAAATAGGCAATCACAGAAGGAACAAACTTATGTAAAATAATCAGATAAAGGGACCTACAACTTAAGAGTCTAAAAATGTTGTTAAATTGGTGATTTTCAAACTTGAACATGCATTGGAATTGCCTAGAGAAATTGTTAAAACACAAATTGCTAGACACTACCTTAAAAGTTTCTAATTCAGTTGGTCTGAGGTGAGACACAAGATTCAGCATTTCTAACAAATTCTCAGGAGATGCTGATGCTACTGGTTTGGGCACCTCACTTTGAGAACCATTAGAATAAGCAGTTAATAAAGTCTTAAAAACTCAGTGTTACCACCACTTGCTTGAAAAGCATAGCAAGCCAAGCCTGATTCATCAAGACCAATAACCCTGTCCAACAAGACCAATGACCATGGCATTGTAGGTCTATGGAAAGGAGGACTAAATCCTAAGACAACATTACCAACTTGGACTCAGAAGCTAGATACCATGGAGGTCAATTGGAAGGAGATAATTTACTATTTATTCAGTAATTTTTCTCTGAACTCCTTCTTTGTGAAAGATATTGGGGCTAGGCTACATGGGGGGTTCAAAGATGAAGGTGATAGAGGACCCATTCTCCTCAGGATATTTATCATCCTATAAGGATAAGTAGGATATAAAGAATAGCAGTATAGCAGTGAGTGGGGTATAGTAGCAAAACTGAAAGAGAACCATGCTTGATCTTGACTGACCAGAGAAAGCTCCAAGAAAGCAGTCATATTTGAGCCAGGTTAGGAGAGCATCTTGAACAGCCTTAGAAAAATGCTTTGTTTGTGCACTATTCATGGAAGCACGAGGAGGTGGTCAAGAGGTAGATGGAGAGAGAAGAACTGTAGAAATGTGGGAAAACTAAGATATTTTGGAGAGTCAGGCAGAAGGAAAGACCCGGAGAAGGATAAACCAGAAGGTCCCAAACCAAGGGTGTTATCATTGAAGACATTCCTAAATTGAAGCAATACCACATTTGCTCTGGGCCTTAGAATGTGCCCATCTGTGTTCAGAGAGTCACTGGAGAGAGAGAAGAAGAGAGGGGCTATACCAGGTTAGGGGTGAAAAGCAGCTTTCTCACTTGAGACCTGAATGATAACAAAGAATTGGTGATGTGAAGGTCTGGAGATGGGAGTTCCAGGAAAAGAGGAAAAAAGCAAATACAAAGACCTTCAGAAAGGGTGTGGGGTGAGAAGTGAGGTGAGCATGAGATGGAGTTGGGGACATAGAGAGAGGCAAAACATTTAGAGCTTCTTGAATCATAATAAGGAATTTAGGTTTGATTTTCATGAAATTTTAAGCAGGCACAAAGAGGGGGAAAGGCATGACTTAGAGATGAGGATGGCTAGATCACAAAGAGCTTTCTAGGTTATGAAAAGACATTCAAAGCAGGGCTCGGTGGCTCAGCCTGTAATCTCGTGCCTTTGGGAGGCTGAGGTGAGTGGATTGCCTGAGCCCGTGGGTTCAAGACCCGCCTGGCAGCGAGACCTCATCTCTACAATAAATAAAAGCAAAATCAGCCAGGCATGGTAGCGCGTTCCTGTAATTCCGGCTACTTGGGAGGCTGAGGTGGAAGGATCGCCGAAGCCAAGTAGGTCGAGGCTGTGGTGGTTGGGAGCGGCCACTGCACTCCAGTCTGGGCGACAGAGTGAGACTCCAACTCAAAAAAAAAAAGAAAAGACATTCAAATTTTATTTCTATCAAGTTTGAAGTGGGGAGTGACCTGATATGATAAATGCCTTTCATTTTTGAAAATTTTAAAATTAATCGTAGTGAAATACAGATAACAAAATTCACCATCTTAACTGTTTTTAAGTGTAGAGCTCAGTGGTGTTAAGTATACAGTTGTACAGCTGTCACTACCACCCATCTATCTCCGGAACTCTTTTCATTTTGAAAAACCGAAACTCTATATCCATTAAAATGATTTATGCTTTTAATGGCTGCTATTTGGAGAGGAGATTATTAGAGGGCACAAGGGGAAAGAAGGACTGTTAGGGGAGGAGTTAGAGTATTTGTAGGAACTCAGGTGGGAGATGATGATGACCCTGGCTATTCAGAAGCAGAGCTGGAGCTTAAATCCAGGACTCCAGAGTTTTAGTTGAAATCCACCAAAATGTCTTGCTTTGTCATCATGGGTATTATTACTAGGACTCTGCATTGAATAGCAATGACTTAGGATCTACTTGCAGACTCTTAGAAGATTTTATGAACCTAACGATGTCTTCTGACATTCACTAGCTAACCCTGAGTTTTACCTTTAGGCACTTTGTCTGATTTAATGCATTCAATTCATATAAACCTTATGAGAGAGATTCCTTTATTATCTCCACTTTACAGATGAGGACACTGCAATGCAGATAGGTGTATTAACTTGCATGGGTTATTCAGTTTGTAATCTTCAACCCAGGATTTGAATTCGGATAGTCCGACTTCAGGACTTGAACAGTTTGCTATTACTCTACCTTGCCTGTGAATCATGGAAGTAGGATATTTATTATCCAAAAGCTAATCCAAAGTTGTTAATGGTGACAAAGCATTGAATGTTTTAAGTACTCTCATATTTCATCATCCCTTCCAAGTAGCAGATATATTATTTTGAGTGTTTGTAAAAGGGAGCCTAAAATCTCATCTTTGCTCTCAATTCTGAGGCATTTGTCTACAAGGATCCCATTCCTTGGAGTCTTGTCATTTTATGATACACAGCACAAGTGCCAACCATGCACTTGCAGGAACCTGAAAACAAGTGCCTCCTTAAGTTTTACATCCTGGACAGTTCATTTAGCTTACCTAGCCCCGGCCCTGCACAGAAACTATCTATTAGCATGAGAGAAATGTTAACAATTGGATCTGAGAATATCTGTTACCTTGAAATCAATGATCAACTTTATAATATTTTCCCTAGAGTATAGTAGACATCAAATACTGCGTTATTCCTAATGCCTTGGTTTCATAGAGTTTAATATCCCCTATATCTCTCAAATTCAGCTCATAGTGTGACCCAAACTTTTAGACACTGGGACTTGACTTCATCCTTCCACTCACTTTTCACTTGTACCATCCCATCAAAGTAAAGAACACGAGTGTTTTTATTATCATCAAAGCTAACCACAGGCTTACCTGGATTCTATATCTTTGGCATTTTTGACTGAGTTTCCTGGCTTGGACTTGGCTCTATTTCTACTAAGGTTGGAGCTCAGAGCATTATCCCTGACAGCCTTTTACCTTATCTTCCCTCTTCCTCCTTCACAATCTGTTTTTTTTTCTTTCTTCCAGTACTAATAGTTTTCACTAAACACTTGAGGCTATTTGACCAGACCAAAGGATGAAATAGCCTTAACTAATTCATTTCCCATTGAGAGTGTTTTCTGCTGTGTGTTCTGAGGCTGTTGATTCAAGATACCTGATTGGTACCATTTGAGCATGTTAAAAGAAGGACAGCATTCTTGATTGTATCAAGAAATCTCTGTTTTTTTTTAAGTTGGCTTATTTATATTTTGAAATCACTTAGGTGGCTTCAATTCATAGATAACTTTTTATTAATTTTTTTTAACCATGTTATTTCATGTGGAACTAACAGTAATGTGGGGCTGGAGGTACCATAGCATGACAGCACTGCAAACATTCACACTGCCCTGTTCTAGCAACTACCATCTCTGCTGCTATGACTTGTTGGCCTCTGAGCTTGCTGCACCCTTTAGGAATATCAAACTGGAGGCTCATACTAGTCAACTTCCTGTAGCAAGTCAGAAAACAAAACATTTACTAAGATATTGGAGAAAATGATTGTGTTTTTGTCAAAGAGATACTGAACTACACCCAATTCTCTTTCTCTCAATTTAGTGAACTTGTTCTTACATTTTTCACAGTGTCTGAAAAGAAGGGTATTGTCATGTTTCATCAGTATCAAAATGTTACATCTGCAAACCCAATTTTTCTTTGCTTTGGGAAGGTACCAAGAGGGAACAACACTGTGGGCTTTGAGAAGAGGCATGTAATTTAATTTAGGTACTTGGGATTCACTTAGTCTTTTCTTCTGATTTCATATTTTATCTTTTTCTTTTATGTTTTTTCCTTCAGAAGATAGCCGAAAGAGAAAAGTGATACTTCCATCAATTCAGCTACTCATTCCCTAACTTAGGCAATAATTCACAGTGACACATGGATGACTGAAAGAAGACACTTATCTCTTCTTCTCCCCCAGCAATACTGGACAATGTCTTGCCTTAGGCATAGTAGCCCTTGAAATAATTTCAAGTCTATATTCAGACAAAACTCATTCCAATAACATGAAATGTGCTAGAAATGAAATGCAGATTTTATACTAGACAAAATTCTAATTTGAACACATTGTGTTTGAACACATTGGAATGTTCAAATTCACTATTGTACATTAAGGCTGTTTGCTGTTTGTCCATTTAGGCTGTGTATAATTTATTACCTGAAATACTGTTACAGCAAGGAGGCTGTCCCCAGATGTCAGCATCTGATATAATCTCTCCTTTGCTCAGAGCTGCCTGGATGACAAGAGCATGGAGCCTGTTATCTCTGTGGGGTTTCAGATCCTGAGGCAGTGCTACCCTAAGAGTCCACTTCCCTTGGTCACAGCCAGCAGTGCTTCTACCTTCCTGGTCCCTGGGAACATCAATTCTCAACCTCCATGTGGACTAACTGGAGGTAAAATAAGTGGGTAATTATGACCTTTAAGACAAGTTTTTACATTTTGGCGATATTTACAAGGAATGTGGGTGAAAACAGAATTAACTGCTTTACAGGTAGACCATGATTGTCTAATAAGCTAATGAGAGAGAGAGAGAGAGAGAGAGAGAGAGAGAGAGAAAGAGAGAGAGAGAGATGAAAAAGCCTTTTTCATAAACAGAATGAGCAAATACTAAGCTCACTTATTTTGTTCTTAATTATTAATTGTTGCCACTTTGCCTCATAACGATCAAATGCCTGTACAGTCATTTCAACTAAAAAAGACTATTCACAATCCTGTGATTGTGTCTCTCCACTGTACTGACTGGTTGTGGAATTAATTTGTTGTAAGGATGAAACTGAAATAAAACTCTTTCTACTTATAACCACCCGCTAGTCATCTAGTCATATTGGAATATTTTGAAAGAATGATTATTTAATCTTCAGATCTTACTGTCAAAATAATCTTGTGCTTTTCAACCCTGTCTTCCTACCATGGAACAAATTTTCTGTAGGCATAATTTTGTCACAATGGCATGGAATGCTTTCTATGGACTTTTGTATTAAATAGCTTCCTTAATCTAAAGATTAGGGTCTCAATCAATCACAGTGATATTTAAGTTACATCAACTTTTGTATGTAGGTGTTCTCTAAACATTGGCAATTTTTTTTTTTTTTTTTTTGAGTTGGAGTCTCACTCTGTCACCCAGACTGGAGTGCGGTGGCCACTCCCAGCCACCACAGCCTCGACCTGCTGGGCTCCCGCAATCCTTCCACCTCAGCCTTCCAAGTAGCTGGAACTACAGGCGCGCGCTACTATGCCTGGCTAATTTTTGATTTTTGTAGAGATGAGGTCTCGCCAAATTGCCCAGGCGGGTCTCGAACCTGTGGGCTCAGGCAATCCACTCACCTCAGCCTCCCAAGCCATGGGATTACAGGCTGAGCCACTGAGCCTGGCACATTGGCAATGTTAATTGCATAAATACCTCTAACTTGGGTAGTAAAATCTAGAGTAATATTCATGTGTCATTTTATTTTGCACACGTTTTGTGACAGCTGTATAGACTTCATGACTTAGTTCCCCCACATGCCTATGTACACACCATTTACATATACCAATAAGGAATATGGATGGAATATTGCCCATTTAATAATGGGCCCCTTATTTCAGAGAGGAAGAAAAACTAACCCTGTGGGTGAGAGTCTAAGTCCTAGGCAAAGGGGAAATCTCACTTACTTCACCTCTTTTTCCCCATCCAGAAGATTTTGAAGATGATGGCGATGAAGAAGTGGACAGAGACTCAGATTCTGAAGATGTGAAAGAGGAAGTAGGTACCTCCACCCTTGCTTCTAATGATCTCTACATTCACATCATACAAAGAAAAACATCACTTTCTGTGTTTGCCTAAGCCTAGTGTCAATTTTAAGGACTTAGTACTGCCACTCAGTGATAGTGATGTTCAATAAATGACAGCTACTGTTATTGATTTCCAAGTTGTCATTTTTATCTCAGTAGGTCGGGTAAAATGTCTCATTGTGAAGTCAGAGGTTGTTCATTATTAAGACACTAATACTCAATTAGTGTGAATCTTAGGTAGATTTTTAATGCTTAGAGTTTGTATATTTAATAAGTATAAATGAAGCCATAGGAAGATTTTCCAGGAAACGTTCTAGTGCCTATCACCTTTCTTTATAAGTCACTCTTCTTGTCTACCCTTTCTGCATAGGGCTGATGCATTGTACAATTCCATTTACTTCAGAGTCTGTGTGAATTATTCTCCCTTAACTTGCAAGATATACAATCTGGCCAGCAAGGAAGAGGTGCTTCTTGGTTCCTATCCCTTGATGCCCTATCCTATAGAACCAAGGTCAACAAACTTTCTGTAAAGGGTCAGATAGTAATAATTTTAGGCTTTGTGCACCATACCGTCTTTGCCACAACCACTCAACTTTGCTGTTGTAGCACAAAAGCAGTTATAGACAACATGTAAACACGTGGGCATGGCTGTGTTGCAGTAAAACTTTATTTACAAAAACAAGCAGTGGGACATAGTTTACTGACTGCTCTTCTACAATAGGGTTTCTAAACCTTGGCACTATTGGCATTTAGACGGGATATTGGTTGTGGGTAGCTGTCCTGAGCATTGTAGTATGTTCAGCAGCATCCCTGAATTCTACCCTTTAGATATTAGTAGTACCTACAATGTTGCCCCCCAGGCCTACACCAAAAATGTCTCTAAGAATTGCCAAAATTGCCCCCATTTGAGGACCATTGCTTTAGAATAATAATTTGTCCGTGAGTTCTAATTCTGTCTCCATTTCTGTTGGTGGACTTGAACAAGTCTCTTCAGCTCTAGTTTCTTAATTTTGTCATCTATAAGACCCAAAAGTAAACACTCCCTTTTATGATTTTCTGGAGGTTAAACTTGAATTTTAAAAAATCAATTTTCTTCCCCCCTTTCCCTTCCTTTCTTCCTTCTCCTTCCTCTCCTTCTTCCACCTCCTCCTTTACTTTCTTCTTTCCTTCCTTTCTATCTGTCTAAAGAGAAATAGACTTTTGAGTTCTCTGTTGTATAATCATTCACCTTGCTGACGGTAGTAGCAGACATATGGGAACTACTTCTTAGCTACATCTGTAGCTTTAGACTGCTATTGACAGTCTGGTGTTCGCTGGGTTTTGTTGATAAATAGAATCGTTTCTGAAGTCATCAGTAGCAAATTGGTTCTTTGCTGTGGCTTGGCGGTACGGGCCTATGGAGTACTTGCTGAATTATTTGAATAATACAGTGCTGCTGCAGTCATTCATCAATGCCACTTTCCCCTCCCCTCTCGCTTGCTCTTTGATAACTGAATGTCTGATGCAGAGTGTCAGTGGTCTCATGTATCTGATGGGGGTGGGGGGAGGTACACGACAGTGCCTGACTTCACACAGCATGGAAAGTACCTAGGGAGGCCTTTCAGCTTTCAGCTCTGCAGAGGATGGCGGGGTGGAGTGAAGTGGAGCTTAAACAAAGAAGCAGACCCAACTGGAAAAAAAGCACAAGACAAATTGGTTAGGACCCGCAAACTATTCGTCAAAAGACTTCACGTCAGGGCAAGAAGATGAGAAGTCAGAGTATAGGCATGAGGTGTAGAGAAATAGAGGGGCATCAGAGTCAGGGTTTGATTCTGGAGAATGGCAAGACAAAGGAACTGGGGCTCCAGAAAACTGGTTTTACCCGGGTTACCTCAGCAGCATTTGCTGCCAGAAATGTGAACAAGAAGCAGGCATATTTTATTTTTTGTCACAGGTTGGACCTAGATCTTTAACTTATTTGGCTGTCCTATTTGAAAGTCTTAGCTAATAGTTGGGACCGGCCTCTTAGGAAGAATGATGAAAAGAAGCTTTCATCTGTAAAGGGTCGTGAGAGTAGAAAGTCAGGTGCTGTGCTTTAATTGAGAACCGTCAAGATCGGCATAAGAAAAGAAAAAGTCACAACAAATACAGACACGATGTTGGCTGTGCTTTTTTCTTCATGTGCACAAGGATTAGGCTTGGACAAATTCCGATGAAGAGGGGGGGATAAGCAGAATGAATTCCAGATATCCCTTCCTCCCTCCCTTACTTCCTTTCCTTTAAACATTTTTAAAAACATTTCTTTCATATACTTTCTTGGGTGTGATCCACATGCAGCATGTTAAATTCTTGAGGGTCATAATAGGAGCAAAAGTGAATAAAACATAATTTTTATCCTCAAAGGACTCACAGTCTAGTGAACTTGGGGACTCTCCTTACTACAACTCAAATCACCGTCTTAAAAGGAGTGGCGAACTCAAGTCTGAAGCTGGGAAGAGACAACATACAAAAGGTTCAATCTCAGGAGGAAGAGCTAGAAAGCATCCTCTGGATTAGACTGACTACCAGAATCCTAGATCTTGGAGGATTGTCTGGGTTGGGTGAGGATACAGAAAGCGGGTCCACCTCTAGATAAGTATAAATGGTATTTATAGGAAATGCAAAAAGGAGTTGAGAACCTGGATGAGTGCCTGAAGATTCAGAGATCAAGCTCCAGAATTTTGAAGACCAGAAATGGTCTCTGTCACAACTATTCAACTTGGCTGTTGTACTGAGAAAGCAACCATTGACATACATAAATGAATAGGCATGGCTCTGTTCCAGTGAAACTTTATTGACAAAAACAAGCAGTGGGCTGCTGTAGTTTAGTAACCCCCGCTTTAATGCTAAGTGGGTCACTTAGTTTCATAAATAAATTAGGTTGCAGCACCTGGGTTGCATGACTTTCCTCACTCTAGACACACCACGTGGAGCACAATCTTACTGGCTGGTGAGGACACTTTTCCTAATGGTGTGCCAAGTTGTGTTTCCATTGGTGCTACCCTAGACTATGACTGAGGCTATAGTAGAGGGACTGGAAGCAAGCAGGAGCTGATAGATGAATCTGGATAGGACAAGAGTGGTGGCTATGGAGTTGGGAATGGTATGTACTATACCTGAAAATATCATTAAATGAAACTCATGAGAATTACCTTTGTTTTAATTTGAAATTTAGAGGAAAATTGTGAAAGATGGTTGGAATATTGTGTTTTCTTTTTTCCATGGATCAGGAATATAAGCATTTATTTTCCATACTTATTTGATTTAAGCTTTCAGGACTGCCAGATTTTTCCTTAATCAACCATATATGCTTCCAAAATATATGATATATTTCTTCTCTCCTATTTTATTAGGGAAACTTGATCTAGGACATGGAAAGATTAGGAAACTAGAATGGTTAATTCCTGATGTCTTTTCTTTGTAAGATCCTATAGCCCTTGGAAAACACACAAGTGTTTAGAGAAGAGTCACTATTGTCATGGTATTATTTTGAAATGTTTATCTAGAAGAAAAAATAAGGTGTCTGGGATTATTCAACCCAATGAAGAAAAGACTGGTGATGATTTGGTAAACTTTTAAATGTATAAAGTGATAAAATTATAGCAAGAAGATGCCAAGTCCTCCTCAGGTCTCATAAGGATTGACATAATTTTTCTCCTACCTGCTTCTCACATCTCATCTTCTGCTATCTTCTTATTCTCTGCGCTTTGGCCACCTTCTTTCTGTAAAGAAATGTAGCCCTCTGCCAGTAATTCCTTTCTATGTCTTTGCATAATTGGTTCTTTTTGATATTTAGGTGTCAGTTAAAATGTTACCTCCTATGAGCCCATCTTAAATCCCCCAATCTAAACAACTTCCCATTCCTCAGTCACAGTTACATCTCTCCTTTCATCATTTCCAGGACATTTATCACTGATGGAAATTACCTTATGCATTTGTTTACTTTCTTTTTAGAAGATTTTAAATCAACTATAATAGGTATCAATATTTAGTTACTTTTTAATTTATTTACTGTTTTCCTTCTCTTATGGCAGGTACTTATTAAGTATTTGTAGAAAGATTGGTGGACCTAAGTGGCCAAGGTAGATAGAGACAATAATTACAATGATGTTGATGAGAGTGATGATAATTTCTTTTATATTGTGCTTAAACAGTTATACAGTTCATCTCCTTTTATATAAAATATTATTAATTTCTGATGAAGACTAATAAATATTAATATAAATACTGAGATAAGTTGTATATCTTCTTTTTTTATTTTAAAAATATAAAATAAAAAAAGTAAATTCTTTACTGGGTAGGTTAGTACTATAATTTGGAGACATAGAAAGTGTGTCCTAAGATCTGAAGAAGCACATAATGTCTTGATGCATCTCTGGGTAGATTTCTTGATTGTAATCTGTCCTATGACTATTCCATTGTAGGATGATGACTTAGAAACAGACATGGACAAGCTGAATTCCAAGCCTGGCCTTGATCGACCTGAAGAGGAACTGGTGCAATATGAGGCGATGTGTCTTGAACTTTCTTGTAGCTTTGAGGTGGGACATATGCCATGGTTTTGCTCCCTTGTGATGCATGATGGGTTCTTTGCATAACCTGGGAGGTCAAACTGAGGTGTCCAGATGGAAAGCATTGCTCATCATTAGCAATCTGCTTATGGGATCTTTCTGGGAGAAAAGTAAAATGCTAAGCAAAAATGTGAAAGGAGTTGCCAAGCTAGAATTCATGTAGGGTTTCTATAATCTGACACCCTACACCTAGGATAAGCATATAGTCATGAGCTACATAACTACATCAGTGTTTCCATTGATGACTGACTGCATACACCATTGTGGTCCCATAAGATTATAATACCATATTTGTACTGTACCTTTTTATGTTTCAGTATGTTTAAATACACAAATTCTGTTACAATTGCCTACAGTATTCAATACAGTAACATGCTGTACAAGTTTGGAGCCTGGTAGCTGTAAGCTATACCATATAGCCTAGATGTGTAGTAGGCTATAACATCAAGGTTTGTATAAGTTCACTCCATGATGGTCTCACAACAATGATATCACCTCAGAAAGTTTTCCCGACCTTAAGCCATTCATAACTCTAGAATGAAGGTACACATCACTACCTATTGGACAAAGTGCCCTACCCACATGCACTGAAAAAGCAAATAAAAATTCATGATGATTTAATTGTTCTCAAGCCAAAGTGGATTGTTCTAGATGGCTTTTTGAAGGTGGCTATCCTGAATCCAGGCTTTTTTGTTGTTGTTAGTAAAAACAAATTGGGAACCTTAGACCTGTAAGTCTAACCTTAGACCTTAGACCTTAGACCTATAGTCCAGTGCCTAGTTGCTGTTATTGCTTTTGTTGCCATCAATATTTTAGACCTGTTTTTTGATCTCCGTTATTTTCTTATGACTCTTAATAAATCATAAATTTGGCTACTTCCAAAATTGTAAACTAAGTCATGTGTACAGATGGGAGTTAATATAATCTATTTTACTTCAAAAAGCAGAAGATCAGTGGTAATAGTTTCATGGAAGTAAAGTTTGGTTTGGTGTCAGGAAGAATTTTAAAAAATAATTAGAATTATCCTCAAATGAAAGGCACTTCCTTGGTGGAAACGAGGCCCAATAAATAAGGTTTTTAAACCAGATTATAATTTAGTTAGGGTGTTGCAGAAGATATTCATGTACGGTTTAGAGTTATATTTTCCCATCAAAAGCCCCTTCAAATGTGATTCTGATTCCTCTGATTTTGCCATTTATTTGACTTTTGAAGGCTAGTGGAAAATGTATCCAAATTTACGCTTAGCTCTGTGCCCAAAGAGTAAGGGCAGGGGTCAAACTGTATTCTCTGTCTGGGAGGAAACGCTAACCATTCTTTTCCACTTTAAACCTGAAGGAACTAGAATCCAAATTTGGAGATAATCTGAATTTTGAAGAGACTCAGTATGTCAATCGCTACCACATTCCAACTGCTGCCATCCCAAAGAAGCATCCCTTGAATAAGGACCAAAATTCCTGGGGGCAAGAAAAAGAAGACACCGTCCAGACTTCCCTTCTGAGCATGGTGAAGATGGGGAGGTCCACAGTGCATTTAGCCTCCAAAAAAAGGCCTGCAGTGAATCCATATCAAAATGTACAATCGAATGGTCTTGGGAAAGATTCTTCTGGAAATGAAATCCCTGACCTTCAGGCTTTCCTAAAAAAGGATGCTTGTGACATAGATGCGATTTTCTGCATAAGGATGAGTACCTCCAGTTCCAATTCTACTAGACCTAAAGAAACTGTTGAGGTAATAGAGAAGCTTCTGCAGACACATCTCAAGCATATCCCTTTCCATGATCCCTATATTTATATGGCCAACGCCAGAAGAACCAAATCTGTAGTAGACTTCAAGATGATGGCATTTCCTGACCTCTGGGGACACTGTTCTCCTCTCTCTGATCAGCCCATGTTGGAACGCAAATATGGAGTCCAAAGGTGATGGGGCTACTGATTTGGGAGCTATATTTTTTCTCTTCTGTAATAGTTTTATAGGTGAGATGGTTTGTGCAGCTAATTCTGCTATTTATAGGCAAGTGAGCATTAGTCAGGCAAGTGAGCATTAGTCAGGAGCAAGTTAAAGCCCATTGGAAAACTTTTATGAAACACGCAAACTTACCCTCCTACAAGAACATTTTTGAATGAGGTGTTGAATTCCTTGTATTATCCTATTTAAACTCCTTACTCTATATCCACTGCAAACCACTACACTAGGAAAAGAACATTTAGTTTCTGCAAATACTGGAATCTTTCCTCAAAGGAAGACTTTCAGAAAAATCTAGAACTGATTGAGACCTATTTTCTTGTTACCTGATAATTGGCATGGAATCTCTTGCTATTAGAGAGGAGGTGGTGTGCCTTCATTCCACAGCCTCAGGCTTGTAGAGACCCTGGCTTGGTTTGGAGTATAATTTTGCTGCATCACTGGGGAGGGGATGACATTCACCAGGGCAGAAATACTGGGTGATGAGTTAGTACCAGAATGCAGGAAAGGGGCCTTTACCTTTGGCTCAGCATAATAAGATTGAAATGAAAACTGCTAAGCCAAGGAAAACATTATTTTCCTTGAAACAAAATGTTTATGCATATACCAAGACAAAGGAACAAAATGTACAGACCAGAATGTTTTATTAACTTACTTTTCATTTCATCAGTAAATTGTTCTCTCTCTTTTTTTAATTATTTAAATTTTTTATTTTTAAATTGTGGGGTACAGTTAAGGGTTAGGTATACAAATATTCATTGTGCAGGTACCCTTGTTGAAGAGGTATGCCCCCCCTTTCTCCAGACCGATATTGACTACCGTTAATCCCACCTCCCTGCCCTTCCCTGCCCCCCCAGTAGTTTCCCGCCACTGTCAATCCTTTTCTTATAGTATTACAGTAGTTGTTCAAGGTCCACTTATGAGTGAGAACATGTGGTACTCAGATCTTTGTTTCTGTGAGAGATCACTCAGTATTATAAACTTTAATTCCATCCAGGTTGCTGTGGTAAATTGTTCTCTTGATGATGAATCTCAGGAATTGTATCCATTGGGCTCCTGGCTGATAACTCCAACCCTACCTTCTGTACATTATCTGCCATGCCCTAGTTTTTGAGAAGTATATCACAGGGGGTGGTCTAGCCCCATCTTACCACTGCATAGAGCATCTTTCATTTGAGTCCAGACCTCGTGTCCACGATCCCTTATCCTTCTCCCATCTCATTCCAATGAAATTCAAGAAATTCAAGAAGGTAATCTGGAAAACCTAAGCTTTCTTTCTTTCTCTTACTTAAACTCGCAGATATTGATGTTTCTCGGACAGAAGGTTGGCTTCAGCCTTCTGGAAGTAGACAGAACTCAAAGAATATAAATAGTACAAGGATACAAAGGCTTATTGGAGGCTCTCAATCGTTGAGGATGAGAACAGTTAATAGTCCTAATATCTCTCTCAAAACTGTCTCAGTGCAAAGAACCCTCTTATTCACACAGCCAGAAAAGTTCCAAGGTCCCCTACCCCAAATCCTCTTGACAAAACTTTTCTTCAAGTCAAGAATCCACTACTGAAATCTATCATCACTCTTTCCTACGTTCATACTTTCAGTGTAGTTTTATTTCTTGATAAAGAAGAGAAGAAAGGAGGGCACTGCTGTTCGCACCCTTTGAGCTTAAGGTTGGGGCATTATTAAACTTCTTTTTGCTTTCATATTTCTCTCATGGCCCCTAAAGCCCTTGCCAAGTGACAATAGGATGAGTGGGGTAGGGAGTAAAGGCCAATCCTTATAATGTTTTCAATTTTCCTTTTCAGGATCAAGATATTAGAGGATATCCGGAGGCTTATCCAGCCAAGGGATGTTATAAATAAAGTTGTCTTCAGTTTAGATGAGCCTTGGTAGGTGGTCTTGTGTATCCATGGAATGTGGGGCGTGGAGAATTCTGCTGATGGCATGAGAATAGGAATGGTTCATGTTAGCAATTAATTTCTACTCCTAAAAATAGCTTGATGAAGATTCAGGTTAAAGATCTGTAAGAGAAAACTTATCTTTAAGAAATGTCAAACTGCTTTTAAGAATAATAGTAATGCATATGTTCTCATGTTCTCTACTCCATTACAGGCCTTTGCAAGATACTGCTTCCAATTGCTTACAGTTTTTCTCCAAGTTTGAGTCAGGAAATCTTCGGAAAGTCATTCAAGTGCGTGAGTAAGTAAGGAAAGCCACAGGGGGTAGCTCCTGGAAGCTCATGAGAGCAAGTTATAATAATTTCTTTCCAATTGCCCTCTGTTCAGTATTCTCACACTGGTAGCTTGAAATCAGCCATGTTGGAAGTAATTCCACAAAAATTAGCAACCACTACAAATGAGGGTTTTTCCTCTCAGGAGTCAGTTGTTAAAAACTTACCAGCATACTACTAGGAAGCTCACTAGCTGATATAACAAAGTGAACTGTAATTGAAGGTGAACTGTTGTGAATGTACCTTATATTCCAAATGATGGGTCCGTATGTGAGTGTGAGAGCATTTTAATGGAAATATCTATACTTTTGATCAATGCCAAGGTTGGTTCTGTGGACATGGAAGGGTACATGGCACTGTTATTTCTGTACCTCTCCATGTCTGTAGCTCCCATACCTGTGTATTTATGGGGTAAAAACCATAGGCTCCCGAATACCATCCCTCTCTGGCAGAAGCTACAGATGAGGTCTTCATCGAAGAGGATTTCATAGGCAAAGAATGTCCAGGGCTGCACAAACTAAAAATAGGGAAATAAAACACAAATGAGTTTTAATTCTTTTTCAGTAGCAGAAGAGACTGCTGTTCTCATTCTATTATAATTCTTTCTACTATAGCAGTGTAGACTATAATTCCCATACACCAAAGGCAAGATATAGAATCTATCTTCTATGTATGAACTTCTGAAACCACATTTTCCTCTTTCCATCCAGGAGATTGAGCAAGTTTTCTAACCAATTCTGTGACTTTATTTCCTCACTCATAAGGCGAGGATAATAACTGTACCCTAGGAAATCTAGGGGTTTTATGAGAGTTTGATAATATGCATAAAGCTCTTAGAATAGTTCTTGGCACATGGTAAGTACTCAATCCATGTAAGCTCTTACTCAGGGATGTATATTTACCATGATTAGGGTTCAGAACTCAGTGTAGCTCATATCTACCTGAAGAATCATTTTTGAAGTTTCTCTTTTGCAAGGAGGTAAAAGGTAGTCTTTTTTTGTACATGAAATATTTCAAGGAAGCTTAACATATAAAACAGAGACAATTGAGCTACTTAGCCTAAGGAAGGGAAAGACTATCATGTCAAGACTTCTCTGTAACCTTCTTCTCTTTCTGTTGTCTGCTCAGTTTCTACTTTTTCCTATGACTCCTACTTTTACTATTCCTTTTCTCCAGATATCATGTTCAAAGGAACCAGGAGAGAAGATCTGGCTAGGCATCTCCTAGTGGGAAAATTATCAGTCTAGGATTTGCAAGCCAGACCTGGCCTGGTTCGGGTCTCTTTATCTATATATCTGCCTTTGAATGGAGTGTGGAATCCTAAACTAATCAGTTGTGGTCAGGGTAACAGTATCAGATGACAGTAAAGAAGCCTACTTACAGATAAGAGATTTTTATGATCACTTTTTGGAGACAGTACTGTAGGAGTGACAGGAAATTAGAGGGTCATAGACTTGTTCTTAGCAATTCTTGTTCTAAGAATTGTTCTTAGCCATGACATTCAATGGGTCACCCTTTATTCTTTGCATGGTGAGCCAGGTGGTTAGAGTGTGGTGCTTACAGTGACAGTGCGAGAGGTGGATTCCATCAGATAGTTCTATCGTATGTCTTATACCAAGCTCTAATCTTTCTTAAATCTCACTATTCAAAGCTATACAAAGTAAACCAGAGTGGGAGAGTATAAATGGATTGGGGCAAAACATTGTCCTTTTGAGAAGAACTACTCAAAGAGAATACTAAGAGGTTAGAACAATAATATGTTTGAGAATGAAATATTCTGATGATAATATTTAAGTCAAAACTCCAATGCTGATTCTGTTGCTATAAATCAGAAAAATCATTACCTTTGGATACATAGTGACTGAAGGGCTGCATGGGAGGCTCCTGGGGTACTGGAAATGTCCCGTATCTGGATAGTGATCACACAGGTGCACCCAAATGTAAATATGTTCATTGTGCTCTCTACTGCATGGAAGTTATATCTCAATGAAAATGAAATAATCCATGCATTGTTGGCCCAGGCTAATTTGTGTTTGCTGCTTTGCTGCAAGATTTACATTTATTATACTATTTAATTTTTACAAGCCACACTGCAAGTTTAGACACTATTTCCATTTTTTATATGCAGAAACTGAGGCTTCAAAAGTAATGTCTAGCATCACATAGAAATGACATATCCAAACCAGATGTAACTGAATTTTCTCTGGGATATAGCACACTTGCATTTTTTTTTAAGCTGGATAAAAGCTTCATTATAATATAATCAAAAGATGCTAATATTTCAAGATAACTAAAAAAGTGGAATTGGAATGTTCCTAACACAAAGAAATAATAAATGCTTGGGTTGATGGCTTTCCCTATTACCCTGACTCGAGTATTACACATTGTATACTTGTATCAAAAGCTCACATGCCTCCCATAAATAAATACAACTATATATATAATAATTTCTAAAAAAATTATGCTACAATTGTATATCAAACTATTCTAAAACTAAGAAACCACCCCATCCCCAGGAATCTGCAAAGCCCATGCCCACTATCATGAGATAAGTATAATAACTGCAATTTACCAGCTAACTAAGATCCTGAGTCTTAGATTTATAATCCAGAACCTGAGACATGTAGATTCTCAGTGTCTGAATTATTTCAAAGACTTTCCAGGTAACCTTCCAATCTTACTTTTTGACTCTGCAGGTTTGAATACGACTTGTTAGTCAATGCGGATGTGAACAGCACCCAGCACCAGCAGTGGTTCTTCTTCAAGGTGAGCGGTATGCAGGCAACCATCCCTTACCGCTTCAACATCATCAACTGTGAGAAACCCAACAGCCAGTTTAACTATGGTGAGTTCTGGACGGCACTGGGGCTTTCTGGAGAATCCTCAGAGTGATATCACTTCTTGACTGTGGATTATAACCAGAGCCCTGCTTGGGTTCCCAGAGGATTTGAAGTTGGGCTAACATACCGGTTGCCAGGTGTGTCAAGGCAGTGGCCCTGACTGGCACACTGCAGCCATGGAGGGGAAACTGGGGTCCTCACTCTGCCATAGAATGTTAGGAGCATGCATAACATCCACTACTTCCTGGTTCCATTGCTCCACCTAAAATTTTTTGTGGTTGGTGAGTACTCTTATTTATTTCTTCTCTCCATATCCTAAATCTCACAGGAGCAAATGCTTTGACCTGCTTGCCACAAGGCAGAAGAATATCAAAATCCAATTGGGCAACACTGATTTACACTCTCACAAAACTCTGGAAAAATTTGACTTTTCCTGAATATGTGTGGCCATTTTAGAGGAGATGTTCAAGAGGCAAAGACTGACCAGCAGCCTATATTTATTTAGAATATTTCTGGGAATGAGAAATTCTGTATATTCCTGCTAGATCATATACTAATTTGCTAGGTGGCTTTGAATTAGGAATACATATTCCGAAGTATCTAGGTCCAAGTACAGAATACCGCCTCTGTTTTGTAGTGACTAAGCAGATTCTTCTGGATGTAGAAAGAGAAATATGAATCTTGACTCTTGTATTCACTTTGGCTGTTGCAACAAATTGTCACAAACTTGGTGGTTTAAAACAAGATGTATTTATTATTTTACAGTTTGGGAGTTCAGAAGTTCAAATCAACTTCACTGGGCTAAAGTGAAGATGTTGGCAGGGCCACGTTCCTTTGGGAGGTGCTAGAGGAAAACACATATCCCTTCCTTTTCCAGCTTCTGAATAACATTCCTTACATTTCTTGTTTCATGGCCCTTTCTTGCATCTTCAAAGCCAGCAGTGTAGCATCTTCAGATTTCTCTGCTTCAGCCTCATTGTGCCTCTTCTATAGCCAAATGTCCCTCAACCTCCTTCTCATGAAGGACATTTGTGATTGCATTTAAGGCTCAACAGAATAATCTCCCCATCTCAAGATCCTTAACTTGATCACATCTGCAGAGTTTCTTTAGACATATACAGTTAGCATTCACAGTTTCCAGGATGAAGACCTTAATATCTTTGGGAACCGTTATTCAAGCCATCACAGACCTCTTTCCCTTTTCTCTTTCCCTCATGGATTAATTCTGGCTTCTATTCTGTGCAGGAATGCAGCCAACCCTGTATTCCGTGAAGGAGGCTCTTCTTGGCAGACCTACCTGGATACGGACAGGCTACGAAATCTGTTACTACAAGTAAGTTAGAATGTTGTTAGCTATCTTTTTTCTGCCATTCCCTCTTAGTTTCCTGCTTTTCCAGATTGATCTTATTGATCCAGATTGATCTTATAAACAGCAGCAAATTGTGCTTACCTGCTAAACTTCTTGTCACTCGGTCCTAGTGGCAAATGTCCCACCTTTCAGAGGTATAAACATGTTCCTTGGTACCCACAATAGACCCCAAGAAATATCTTTTCATTTGCTGAAAGATGGATTATCTTCATTCAAGTACATTAACTTTTCTGGATCTTGTTGTTAGATATTAGAAGTTGTACAAACTCAACCTGTGAGTAGTACATCAAGCCTTGGTTTTTATCTCCTTCCACTGGACTTAGATGGGTCATCTAGATGTTCTGTCCTATTCCTATCCTACCCTGTGCTTCAGTTTTCCAGAGTACATATGAGTGAATATATGAGAAATACACTAAAGTTACTCTTCCTCCACAGCAAGATAATTTTGGAGAAAAAAAGGAGTAGCCAGTTTAAACAATTTATCCTGCAAAGTTGTAAAGAAATTTAAATTATCTATATATTTTGATGAGAGAAGTAGAATCTAGACCTATGAATTGTTTTAGATGGATATTCAAATTTATAATAAAAGAAAAGGAAAGGAATTGTTAGAAGAGGTAGAATATATATAATTAATTATTACTCAATAGCTAGCTTCTTATATGATGACCACTTATGTACCTAACTCTGAATTGTACCCCACATCTTTAAAAAAATTGATAGGTCAGTACCTATTTTCTTAGATAAAGTAAGTCTTATCTCTTTCTGAAATTACAAGATCCCTAAAAAACCTATTATTAAACATTCTAGAGTTTGGGATAGTTATTCATTATCAAAAGTAAATAGAGCATGTGCCCTTATGACTCTTGGCTTTTGGGACTATGAGAATAGGAGTATTGATAGATAGGAAAGGTCAAGAATCTTGTTGCTGTATCAGATACAAAGGCAAAAATCACCATCGAGATAATGACAGTCTACAAAACACAGAGCAGGGCAGACCAACAGTCTGAAATAAAAGAGTTGGAAGTCTTCAGTTTTTGATGTATTAGGATATGAGTCTGAATAGTATTTTTTATATTCCTTGGAAGAATCACAAGATATTACAACTTCGTTGCTTTTTCATCCACCTAAATGGCAATTACTCTCTGGCCTACCTATCTCAAGGCTCTCAGGACCTATTATATGGTTCAAAGAGATTTAGATTTAAAATCACCTCAAAGTGATAGAGTCCTCAACTGCAGGAAAAAAAAAAGAAATCTAAGTTTGGACCTTTGTGTGTCAAGAATGACTTAAGGTTTTCTGAAAACAGTTACCCTCAATAAATGTCCCAGTGGGATATAGCTCTTCCTAGAGGATGTTTGGATTGGGGAATAGGGAGAGGGCTCAAGGGAACCAAGTGTCTGCCAAAAGGAGAAAGAAGGAAGAAGTTACACATCCAAAAGCACAGCCTTGGCCTAAGGAAAGCCAATGTTAATAGCTTTCAGATTCATTAACAAGACTATTGTTATGTGATTAAAGAGCAACAGAGGGGTAAGATAAAAACCATGAATGTATAATGTAATTCATTTTTCATATTCCAGCCATGAATACAACAGAGATGAATGGATAAGATTGCTACATTGTAATGTAGTTTGTTTTATAATTATTCACCACATTATGTTAACATATTTCCAATAATGTGATCTAACAACAGGATAGATACGTGTAATATCTATTCACCCACAAATCAGAACACCTCTCCCTTTTGTAAAATGATGCCTTATATTATACAATGTCTTTCTCCCTACCTACCCATCCCAATCGTTGAGTTAATCTGCTTTGGAAGATTTCTTTGCTTCATTTCTGCCATTACTCCCTTCCCTCTGGTGTATTAATTTGGAAGAACTTTATCTCCCTTTGTTTCTAATATGTCATTAGGAACTCAGAAGTTCTATTTCTATTATGTTGTTAAATTCCCAGATTTAGTGCTATGTTTTAAGGGGATGTGAGGGTGCCCGTTGTGGGAGGACCATGAGTGATGGTACCTGAGTATATTTAGAGAAGGGCACGCAGAAGAAATGGGATTTACATTTCCTTCAGAAATAGACAGCAATGCTAAGCAGGTGGGCTGGCTACTTCAAGGAGGTGGGCTGGCTACTTTGTGGGGCTGATCCTCGTCAGATGAAAAGTAGTCTCCAAACTATTTTGGTAGTTCACCACCATGAATATATTTTTGTGTGTACTTGCTAGATTATTTTATGCATTTAAAAAAAATTGTATATATGTTACTGTACTGATGTACATTAGAAAGCATGCAAAGAGTGAAGAATTTTAAATGATGAGAAAAAGATGGAGGGCGTGCAGGTGGCTGTCTCCCAGGAGAGTCGAGGAGGGAGCAGAGGCAGCAGAGGCAGCAAGGCAAATTAGAGTGTGGACTTCTCAGCTAAGTACCCTTCTCCTGAATACCAAGGGAATCGATCACCTTCACAATAACTTCCAGGGCTTTCTACTTGGTAAGTTTTGTAATGAGAGTCTGACAACCCCAACTCAACATTCATCCAGAGTCCAGGATGAAAAAAGTCCTCAAAGGGAAACATTTTGCTGATGTGGAATACGTGAAACAAAAAACGCAGAAGTACTACAAGGTATCCCAATTGACAAATTTGAAAATTACTTTGAGCAGTGGAATAAGTGTCTCGACAGTTGTATTGCATCAAATGACAAATTAGAGTGTGGACTTCTCAGCTAAGTACCCTTCTTCTGAATACCAAGGGAGTCGACCACCTTCACAATAATTTCCAGGGCTTTCTACTTGGTGAGTTTTGTAATGAGAGTCTGACAACCCCAGCTCAACATTCAACCAGGGTCCAGAGTTGGAGTCTCACTCCATCACTCAGGCTGGGGTGCAGTGGCACACTCACAGCCACACCAGTGTTTACCTGCTGGGTTTCGGCAATCAGTTTTCCAAGTAGCTGGAACTACAGGGCTTTATACTTGTTGAGTTTTGTAATGACAGTCTGACAACCATGGGATGCTGATAAGATGGCGACTGAATAGGTCAGACTGTGAGAGTCTCCGCAAAAGCAAGTGTCCATAAAGACTTTCTGCATGAGTAGACATGTGCTGGTCGGAGAGTGAAAGTCCGTCTGAGGAAAAACTAAGGTTCATGCACCCAGGGCCCCCATCTGAAGGTGACTGCAAGTCCCCACAGTCCTGAGATTGAAGCTGCGGGCACGCGAGATCATCTGCTGTTCATGAGACTCCTGAAAAGAGCCTGCTGAATCCAGCTGATTCTCATCACCTGGTGCCTTGCCTACACTATCACCTATTATAGAAAATCACCTGGAGCCCCGGATCCGATCAGTGGAGAGAGAAGATCCGGGAGAGCCAGAGGGGAGCCCATGCCCAGTGAAGAAATACTGACTGCAGGCATTTCCTCTGCCCTAGGACCAGGCAGAGAACTGCATTGCCCCACCCAGCCCCACCCAGCTCCACCCAGCTCCACCCAGCTCCATCCAACCTCCAACTTGAGACCTAAGGTAATCTATCAAACTGGGAGAGACAGAAACCCCTCCCCCATGCTGGATCAGACACAGACAGGTCAGATCTGAGTGGCAGACTTGACAGGCAGCAAGCTGAGTGATTCCAGATCTGATCCACCCTCCTTCTACAGTAGCCCTGGGGCATCTGACACAAGCCATGAGCAACCTTGTCATCCTATGCTGAGAACTAGAGATCAGAGGTGAATGGACATTGGACTTACAGGAATGACTTCAGAGCAAGTTTATTTCCTTGTTTTTATTTTTCATCTGTTTGTTTTGCTTATTTTTTGTTTTAGTTTCTTTCTCTCTGTTTTTGATAACATTTTCATATTTGCTCTGTTTCTGTTATTTTACTGGTTTTTTTTTCTTTAGAATTCCTGTTTGTGTATGGGAAGAATACATCAATAGGGAAGTTTTTGTTGGTTTGTGTATTTGTATGATTGTCTGTATGTTTTAGTATTTTTTATTCTTTTCTGTCTTTGTGTCTCTTTTCATTTGTTAGTGGGTATGTCTATCTGTTTTCCCTCTTACTCTTCTCTCTCTTCACCTTCTTCTTGCCCTCCCTCCTTCCTTTTTCTATTCTTCTCCTTTTTCTTACCTCATTTTGCTTTCAGGGAGCAAACCTATAACCCCACTGCATGGTCAGATTGTAAGGCAGTGGGAAGTAGGCTTCAGGGTGCCCATACACCTGTTGGTGGGATACTGGGATCTGCAGATAGATTTTGAATCACAGCTCCCCACTCAATTAAATCTCAAAACTGCAAAAACTGCAGCCCCCAACCCACAGTCCAGCTTCAGAATTGAACAAAGCCAGAGGATCCACATGAGGAAGAAAAGGAGATTGAGCAAACAGGAATAAAAGCAACCCTGCTATCCCTGAACAACAGAATTAAAGAAGAAGAAGAAGAAGAAGAAGAAGAAGAAGAAGAAGAAGAAGAAGAAGAAAAAGGAGGGTAGGAGGAGGAAAATCTACGCAAATGAAGAAAAACCAAAAGAAGAATATGGGTCTCACACAGACACTTGGGAGGTCAGACACTGAGAAAACAGTTTTTGGGACACAAACAATGAAGAGCCTCCAGAATGACTGGTCTCAAACTACAAACCCAGATATCAAGACATTAATAGAGAGCATAAATATAATTGAGGAGAGACAAGAGGAAAATAGCAAGGAGTTGATAACTGAGATAACAGCAATAAAGAATATTGTGAATGAAATAAATAATGAACTGATAAGCCTGGAAAGCAGAATTAGCCAAGCAGAAGAAAAAATCTCAGAGCTTGAAGACCAAAATATAGAACTAATCCAAAGTGTCAAAAACATAGAAAAGAAACTTAAAATGACAGAACGTAACCTATAAGAGATGAGCGATTATTTCAAGAGACTGAACCTAAGAATAATTGGCTTTCCTGAGGCAGAAAGAGAGACAGAGACCACCCTGGAACAAA